GGCTTACAGTCTAGTGGGGGAGAGAGATGATGAGCCAGTTAAACAGGTAAAAATAGAGGATATTGGATAGGTACCATGGAAAGAAATAAAGCAGGGAAGGGGCAAATTTAAATAAAACTGTCAGGGAAGTCTCCCAGAGAAGACATCTGGGCAAAGACCTGAAGGAGGTTAAGGAGTGAGCTTGGAGCAGAGCGAAAGGGAGAGGGCTGAGAGGTGAGGCCGAGGAGGCAACAGGAGGCAGATAGCACAGGGCCTCATGGGCCATGTAGGCTTTCATTCCGATTGCCCAAGGCTGAGGGCAGTCAAGGAAAGCTTCCTGGAAGAGGCAGAGGCTTTTGTCTAGGACCTTGAAGGCAAGTAGAATTCTGACAGCTAAAGACTATAAGAAAGGCAGTACCATCTGGTGGTTAGAAACTCCCCCTTTGCAATCAGACCCAGGTTTGAGTCCCGACTCCATCAGTTGTTCCCTGTGAGATCTTGGGCAAGTAGCTTTGCCTCTCTAAGCTGGTTTCCTCATCAGCAAATTGGTGATAGTAATAGCCCCTCCTTCCCACAGTGATTGACAGGATGAAATGGGGCAGCACAGACCCTGATCCATGATAGGTATTGGATATGTGCTTGCTGGCGGCTTTCTGGGAAGGAGCACATTGCTAGGAGAACCCTAACAGGGCCAGCAAGTCAGCCCCCGCCTCCTCTTTCCTTCTCAGTGGCCCCAAGTCCCCCAAGCCCAGTTTGGCCCAGATGCCACTGGTTAGGTTAGTAACTCTGCCAGGGGCTGGGGTCTTCTTTGGAAGGGACCCAGGGTCTCATTAGCTACAGCTTTCCCTCCAACCCCAGGGCCGTTGCACATGCTGTGCCCACTCCCTGCATCACTTTCCCTCCCCATCCTCTTCACCTGACTATCTGCTAGTCAGATCTCAGCACAAATGTCAGTTACTCTAAGGGAAGCATCCCTGCACCCCAGGACCCCCTGCTCCACACACTCACAGCTCCTGCACTTTTTCTCTCAACTCTTATCACCATGTAATGTCTGTCCCTGCCGTTAGACACACCATGTTGGTCTTGTTCACCGCTGTGTCCTTGGTACACAGCAAGCATTCAATTCATAGTTGTCAGCAAAAGCCAGAAGTCTCAGTTCCAAATTGCTCAGTCCAGTCCCCTGCCTATTTTCCAGAAGGGACTCTAAGACCCAAGGTAAGCGACCTGCCCATTTTGCACAGCAATTCTCCTGCCCCAAGTCCAGCCTCTTCTGAGGCCCCCATTGGGCTGCCCAGCCTCTCAGGGCCCGTTGAACCCCAGGGCTTCCCCTGCCATCACCCCGGACAGATGGTGAGGCAGCTAGGAAGCACCGGGCCGAAGCACGTTTAATTTTAATTTAGGAATCAGCTAAGGCTGCAGGCCTGCTCAGCTCTGGGCTGTCAATCAGCCTTCCTCAAGGCTGCATCAATTAGTTTAAAAATATTGAATGTAATTTTGCCTGACACAACATATTGCAGCTACTGCAAAATATAATTTATTTTAGAAAAAGAAATAATTAAACTAATTTGCATGTCAGTCAGTTGAACTGAGATGCCAAGAGGAGGGTGGGGCCCTGTGGGGACCCAGCCCCTGGAGGGGGCACCTGCTGAAAAGCAGTGAGTGAGGTCAGCTCAGGCCTGGGTCTGAGCAACCGCTTCCGCCAGCTGGACAAAGAGCCAGGCAGCAGGAGGGTCCATTTACAGTGTATTTGCTCCAAGCACTGAGCCCAATCCCAAATCTGCCCCTAACCTGCCTTGTGGATTTCAGCGAAGTCCTGCCCCTCTCTGGGTCTCAGTCTTCTCATTTACAAAATGGGATTACATAACAAACTTCCTTCACAAAGATGGTATCGCAGTATGAAAGTTTGTTATAAATTCAAAAGTCCTGCAGAGAAGTTCAGATTAATCAATTGATGGATCCCCATTTTATACTGGAAATATTTAAGGTGGTAAATTATGAAAGATCTTGATCAATCATTATAAGTGATACTAACTGGGATCAGGAGGCAAGACATCAGGTTGGACTCCGTGACCTGCCGGTCACCCTAGAGCAGAGGTTGGCAGCCCACTGCACAGTAGATTCACCTGGGGAGCTTTGAAAACCATCAATGACCAGGACTTGAGCATCAGTTGGTAATTTCCAGGCTTCCCAGGCGGTTCTGATGTGCAGCCAGGCCAGAGACCCACGGCCGGGATCGCACCGACACTGCGCGCTGACTGGGGCCAGCCCGCAGCTCCAGGGATTCCAGTCCTGCCCCAGATCCAGGGGTCTGTGGATGAGCTCTGCAGGTGGTAGCTGTGACAACATGGACACATGCCCTCTTCAACTGTCACTCAGCTGCCCCATCCCTCAGACCTGAGACCCTCACTCAACACCAAAAGGCTCAGGACTTCCCCAAGAGGTGACCTGTGACACTTCAAAAGAGGAGGTTGGAGAGGGTCCAGCATAACCCAAAGGCATAGTGCGATCATGGAGGTTCCACCGGCAGTGACCAGCCCTCCAGCAGGGTGATTGTCCACTGGAGAGGCCTGTCCTGCTCTGAGGTCTCCCTTCTACTTGGACCACTGGGCCCTCTCTCCCACTCCAGCCCCTGCAGCTCCCCTCCCTCCCTCTGCCTCAGAGGGAAGAAAGGCACCATTTCTGGCTATGGGCCTCACCCTCGCCTCCTTCCAAGCACCCACCGTCTGTCTGTTTAAGTCCTCTGGCAGCGCGCTCTCAAAAATAACGGCTCAGCCAGCATTCCCAGTCACGACTCCATCGCTTGCCCCTGGAAGAGCCCCCCTCTAATCGCTGAGGCGGCAGATCTGGGTGAACGAGAAGATAAGGTGCCCGGGCTAAGGGGCACTCCAGAGCGGGGTTGGGGTCTGAGTTAATTAATGACTCCCCCCCCCTTTTCCATGGCCCCCCAGGAGGTGGCTGCACCTGCCTTCCAATCTCCATTTCTGTCTTTATCAACACACGCACAGCTGCCATCGGCATCCAGCGGACCCCTGGGTTCAGAGAAAGAGGCAGGAGCCAGCCTCACTCGCCACAAAAGTCACACAGTGCCTGGTTTCCTGGAAGCTTCCCTGCCAGCCAGGCCAGAGATCCAGCCATCAGAGTCACTGCTGGGAAGTGGGGTGCAGTTTTCTCTCCCAGGGGTTGTGCCTGAGGTCACTGGCAGCTGGGACATGTCAGTGATGAATACGTGGTTAAGATAGCAGAGGCCCGGGTACCAATGAGGTTCCCTTAGTTTCTAGAAAAGTCCAGTGTGTTCAGCGTGATGCTCAGAGAAGGCAGGCTGGGATGAAGTATCCCAATACCCTCGAGTCATTTAATGTCATTGCTGGAAGGTCCCTTTGAGGACATCTGTTTGTTTAACAAATAGTTATATAGCACTTACTATGTGTTGTACACACAGCCATAAGTGCTTTGCAGATGTTAACTCAATCTATCCTCTTAGCCCATTTTGCGAGAAAACTGAGGTACAAAGAGGCAGATCACACAGCTAATAAGTGGCAGAGTTGGGATCAAAACCGCCTGTCTCCAGACTCCTTGCTCTTAGTCACTATGCTCTGTCCATTTTTCAGGTGCAGAAGCTGATATCAGAGAGGGAAGGGTCTTACCCAGGATCAAACACTGGGTCAGGGACGGAGCCACGCCTAGAATTCAAGCCTCCTTCAGTATCAGTCTTTCCAGGCTTCATTCATTCATTCAAGACATGTATTAGAACTTACTCTGTGCCATACCCCACAGTGCTGGGGGTCCAGGGATGAATAAGACAGGGAGCTTGACCTCAATGAGATTACAGTGGATGGGGCGGGGACTTCACAGTTTTTCTGAGGGCTCTGGCCAACACCCACCCCAGAGGACTTGTCTGGCTCGCTCCGTGTCAGGTTTTGAAAGGGCAGAGGTTTCAGAGTTCAGCTGCAAGATGTGTGGACTGAAGGCCAGTTTTTAAAACCTTCCCATGTTTTAGTTCTTCGCTACAATATGGGGATGAAAATTGTACCAAACCACAGGATATCTGCAAGGTTGCCTGAAATATCAGCTGTGGATGCTCCCGGTGCATTCTGTGCACTCTCTGATGATGGAGATAGAGATGGTAATGGTGATAACAGTGTTGCTGTTGGTGGTGGTGATGGGATGGTGATATTGGTGATTATTGTGGGGGTAACGGTAGCAGTGGTGGTGATGGTGGTTGTGGTGATAGTGATGGTATGCTGATGGTATTGGTGATCGTAATTGATGCTGATGGTGGCGATGGGAGGATGGTGGTGGTGATGACGTTGGTGGTGATGGTGGTGGTGGTGACGGTCTTAGTGTTTGTGGTGGTAGGGATGATGAGGGTGGAACTAGGGGATATGGTAGTGGAGGTAGTGGTGGTAATTCTAATGATGATGATGATGATAACAGATGTGGTGATGGCGTTGGTGATGGTGATAATGGCGGTGATAATAATGGTGGTACTGACAGTTATAGTGGTGGAGATGGTGCTGATAATGCTAATGGAGGTGGTAATGGTTTACTGGTAGTAATGGTTTAATGGTGGTAATGGCAATAGTAATGGTGATTGTGATAGTAGTGAAGAAGGTAGTAATGGTGGAGATTATGGTGATGATGCTAAAAGTGTTGATGGGATGGTACTGGTGATTATGGTGATGAAGGTTGTGGTGATGACTCTAATGGTGCCAATGCTAATGGTAATGGTAGTGATGGTTGCGGTGAAGGTGATGCTGATGATATTGGTGATGGTGACTGATGGTGATGGTGGTGATGGGAGGATGGTTGTGGTGATGATGTTGATGATGGTGGTGATGGTCAAGGTGATAATCACCCACTTGTGCTCAGATGTCCCCGTCCCTTTTCCTATCACCAACCTGGTCAACCTACAAATCTCTCAGTGTGACCCGACTGCCTAATTTTGCTCAAGTAGCAGATAACGGGGTTGTCTACACCTCACACTTGATGCTACTCATCCTACCTCTATGTTCTGGTTGCAGACAATCATGCCCAGCTATCCCGGGCATCCCTAAGGATCCGAATCCTCGATGTGAACGACAATCCCCCAGAGCTGGCCACACCCTACGAGGCAGCTGTATGTGAGGATGCCAAGCCAGGCCAGGTACAATTGAGGGGCTGGGGGCTGGGGAGTGCTGCCAGGACTGGCCCAAGGGCACCCTCTACCCAGGCCAGAGTGGGCTCAGCCTCCTGCCCCCCATCACCTTTCAGCTCATCCAGACAATCAGCGTGGTGGACAGAGATGAGCCCCAGGGTGGCCATCGCTTCTATTTCCGCCTGGTGCCTGAGGCTCCCAGCAACCCTCACTTCTCTCTGCTTGACATCCAAGGTGAGTTACCTCTGAATCACCAAATCCTAGGATGCATTGAGGGAGGGGCCTAGCCTCCCTGCTCCCTCCCGTATTCTAGATGGAGAGACTGAGGCACCCAGAGGGCCAGTGTTGGGTTTATAACCACACAGGAAGTCCAGGCCAAGCTGGAGCTGTTACTCAGCCTGCTAAGCAAACCATGAAGAACAGGCAGGGTGTGGGTTGACGAGGTGGAGAGGACATCCCAAGGATAGGGAATGGCAGATGGTAACATCAGCAAAGGGCATGCATCAGGAGTGGGGTGGGAAGAGCCCCTTGTTCTAGTGAAGACTGAAATAAGCCGCATGCACACACTCCCCACCCTTCAGTTTAAAAAGCGCTTTATCCACTCACATTTCTCTTTGCATCCTCACTCCCACGGTGAGAGGTGGTAGTCTTATCCCTTTCCTCGTTTTGCTGGCAATGAAACCAAGGCTCTGAGAGAATAAGGGACCTGCCCAGGATCACATAGGAAGTCAGTGGTGGGGCTGGAATTCAAACCCACACCTGTCTCAGACCCAGTGCTCTTCCTGCCTTAGCTCACTATCTTGAAAGCAAACTGCCCCACCCCCACACCAGCCTGAGCTGATTCCATTGTGAGATATCCCCCAGAAAATGCCCCAAGAAGTTCACATTGGAACCTTTCAAGGAATAGATTGAAGGGGGGCAGGGGCAGGGTAAGTGAATGGACTGGGAGTCGGGAACCTGGGTGCAAGTCCAGGCTCAGTTGATGGCTCTCTATGCATGTGCTCGTGCCTCTCTAAGCCTCAGTTTCATCATCTGTAAAATGGGCTGATGACACCTCCGGGGCCTAGGTGGCTCCAGTGAGATGAAGGCTACCAATGTATATTGTCATACTTAGAACATATCAATTCCTTCATTCAGTAAACATTTACTGAGCATCTGCTATGTGCCAGGCACTATTCTGAGCCTGAAAATACAGTAGCAAACAAGACAAAGTCCTACCCTCATGGAGTGTACATTCTAGTGAGAGGAGATAGAAATTAAACAAATAAATACAATGCTGGGGATAATAAGTGGCTTTGGGGGGAAATAACCCGATCTACACTAGAGTCTGGACTAGACCCAGGATGCCTAGAGCAGTGCCTGGAACATAGTAGATGTTCAGTAAAAATTTGTTAAATGAAAAAATAAATTAGGGTAAGATGATAATAAGTGATGGGAGAGGGGAAGCTTTTTTAAATAGGGTAGTCTGGGAAGCTTCTCTGAGGAAATCAATAGTTGACTAGGAATCTGAAGGAAATGAGGGAGTGAGCTGTGCAGATAACTGGACAAAAGACAATCCAGGTGGAAGAAACTGCAAGTGCAAGGGCCCTAGGCAGGAGCAGGCCTGGGACATTCAACGGAAGGAGGCTAGCATGGCCGGAGCAAGTGAGCGACAGGACTGGAAGGAGATGTGATCAGAGAGACTGTGGGGCCAGAGCACATTGGTTCCTTCTGGCCCTGGAAGAGGTCTGGGGTCACTCTCAGGAACTTTATACCGCCTAAAAGGAGAGGCCTCCAATGGTCTCTAAAGCCTAGTCCATCTGTATTCCCAGGAGACATACTAAAAATATTTAACAACCAGTGCAGCTCAGATAACCAATCAGAAAGGATGCTGACCATAACCAGTAGCAGATTCCTGGGGCCTCTGTTGTGCTAGGCATTAATCCTTTAGTTGCTTGGTTGTGGCAAGGTTGGGGGAGTGCCTGGTTGCGGGGGAAGGCTGAGGCAACAGGGGGACATTTAGGGGACTCAGAGTAGCGGCCATTTAAACCTTTTGGGAAGTATCTCAATATTTTAACAACCAGCACAGCAAGTTACTGGCTCATTATGCCAGTGGAGTTCTGAGCTGGCCCCAGGAGGCACAGATATCCCTGGCTCAACCTGGCCAAGTTCGTGAGTCGTTCCACCCCAAGGGGCCTGAGTTTCTGCCCCAACTGCCTCTGTTTGTCCAGGGGCCGCCAGAGCTCACTTCCAGCGTGACCACCTGGTAAGGGAGGCAGCAACGTGCCTGAGGTCAGAGCAGCTGAGGAAGGTCCCCCTCCAGCCCACTAGTCCCTTCCCGAAATGTGCCAAGCCCCTCCTCCTCACCATATAAATATCCTGGATGACAAATGGCTACCCCAGCCCATCTGTTTCTTTGTACAAATTTGTAGCCAGTTTGGAAACGTGATTTATAAATATTGCTTCTGCAGCCAGGGATTGACACTGATCTATGTCAGGCCAGATAGATAGATGTGGTGTTGGGCTTCCATCCCACCTAGAAGGGTGGGGTGGAGGCCTGGGGTGGCCAGAGGCTTCCCCAGCTGAGGCAGCTGCTGCCCAGGAGGGCAACTTGGAAAGTTTAGGGATGATGGGATGGAGGAGTGGCAGGGACCAGAGCCCTCAGAACATATGGCCCCATGGCCAAAGATAGCAACCCAGAGAGACAAACATCTCCCCTTCTCTCCCCTGCTCTTGCTGGGGAATTTGAGACTGAGCCAGAGCCAGCCATTCATTTCTCAAACCTGTCAACTTCTCTCTCTCCCAACTACAATGCTTATCTCACACCTAAAACACACAATAACTTCTTAACTGCTCTTCTACATCCACTCTTGTGTTTTAGATAAGCTCCCTGAACTAGACTGTAGGCTTAGCAGGGGCAGGGACCATGTCTGTCTTGTTCATTGCAGCCCCAGGGGCTAGAAGAGCCCTAACAGTAAAGGGTGCTGAATGAATATTTGGTATTGAATGAATGGATGATATATCACGAGGTCACTTTTTTTGCTTAGAACTCACCAGTTGGTGGCCTCCCATTGCTTTTAGGAAAATAATCCAAATTCCTTACCATGGCCTTCAAGATCTTCCATAATGAGCTCCTGCCTCCCCTCCAGCCTTATCTTGACTCACTCTAGCCACACTGGACTGCTTGCAGTTCCTGGAGCGTGTTATATGCCTTCCAACCTCAGGCCCTTTGCATGTGCTGTTGTCTCTCCTTGGTTAATGCCAACTCATCACTCAGGACTCAGAAATAACATATCACTTCTTCCGATAAGCCCACCATGACCTTGCAGGCTGGGTCAGGTCCTCTGTTAGGTACTCTTCCTATATTTTGTAGCACTTGTCATGGTTTGTAATTGTAGACTTAATTTTGGGTTTATTTGATTAACATTTGTCTCTCACATTAGAATATGAGCTCAGATCAAGCACAGTGGTTGGTTTAGTTCTCCGTTGTTTTCCCCCAGTGACTAGCATGGTGCTAGCACATAGGAGTTACTCAATAAACATTTGTTAAACGGATGGATAGATGGATGGATGGATGGATGGATGGGTGGGTGGGTGGGTGGACGGATAGATGGATGGACAGATGGACGCATGGACGCATGGACGGATGGACGGATGGATGGATGGATGGGTAGGTGGATGGATGAATGGATGGGTAGGTGGATGGATGAATGGATAAATGATTTAATGTGTGTGGAAAACGTGGCTATGCCACCAATTCAGTGGCTGGCAGGGGACAGCCCTGTGTGTATCATCTGAATGAACCCTGTGCTCAGTCATCAGTTAGCCATACCTTGACACCCTAACAGGCACCCCTACCCTTTGGTGGTAGGTACTAGAATTGAAGGCACAATGTCAAGGATGAATTCAGTCAAGTCATTTGTCTCTGAGCCTCAATTTCCACATATATAAAATGGGGATAATGCCACAACTTTTGGTGGTGGTATTAAGTATGACTGTATTTAGAGTACCCAACACAGTCCATAAAAAGCACCCAGTCAGTGTGAATGAGTCCACACCATTTCTTCTCCCCATCTTGCTCCTGAGCGTCCTTTCTTCCCCAGGGGAAGGCAGATGTTTTCCCAGCTGGGATTGTCTCACCCTTTGACAGGAGGTCTAGAGTTCAAGCCAGAGCTTGAGGAGCTGACTCAGAACCACCAGGTACCCCAAAGTCATGGTCCAAACATTGCTCTTCAGGACTGGCTCAGCGCTGGGCCCTGGCTGACCTGTATGAAGAGACAGGCACACACTAACGGAATGCAGCGTGACAAGTGCTGTAACGGAGGTGTGCCTCGCCCCTGCGTAGTCAGAGCAGGGTGGGGGGAGCCATAAATCTTTCCTTCCCGGGCAAGCCGAGAAAAGAGACCACAGAAAGGAGGTGACAATTAGCTGGAGAATGATGGGTGAGGGATTTGCCCCGGCAAGAAGTTGGAGAGGGCAGTCTAGATAGTGGGAACCATGTGAATAAAGGCAGGGCAGCCTAGCCAGAGGGTGATGGCATGGTGCAGCACCAGGAAAATGGGGCTGAGGTATGAAAATAATAACAATGGCAATAACAAGCTTCTATGTGTGGGAATTATTCTCAGGGTTATGTGTGAATTGTATCGTTTAATCTTCATACCTGTAAGGATTAAATACGATTCTTCTTCTTTTACAAATGAAGAAACTGAGGTCCAAAGAGGCTGAGCTTCCCAAGCTAGTAAATGATAGGCTCAGTATTTTTTTTAACATTTTTATGAAAGTTTTCAAATTGCAGTATTTTTTTTTTTTACAGTTGCCATTAAGTCAATTCCTACTAATGGTAACTCCCGGTAACTCAAGTATGTCAGAGTAGAAGTGTGCTCCATAGGGTTTCCAGTGGCTGATATTTCAGAAGTAGATTGCCAGGTCTTTCTTCCAAGGCACCTCTGGGTGGACTTGAACGGCCAACCTTTTGGTTGGCAGGGACTTGCTGCAGAAGTAATAGACATGTAATACACCATCATGTGCCCGTTATACAGCTTCACCTCACGGCCGGTCTTTTTCATCTGGACCTTCAGTCCACTGGACAGATGTGCCCAAGGTCACAGAGCCCAAGGGCTCTTTTCCCTACAGTATGTCCATTATGGGGAAGACCAGGACAGGGGCACCAAATTGGGGGCTGCCAGGGAAGGAGCTGAGTTCACTGGGGCCAAAAAGCTCGGAAGGGACCCAAGCTGCTGAAGTCTCAGATAGGGAGACCAGCCTGCAGACTGCAGGGACAGGGAGAAGGACTCAGGAGTGAGGCCCGGGCCCCCAAAGGAAGACAGGCCTCCCTTTTGTGGAGTTGGCTGTGCCTTTGGTCTCTGAGTGCATCTGCACCCCCGCGTTGCAGCCTGGCTGAGAGGAGCCGTCACAGTGATGGAGGATAGGGAAGGACTCACTCATACGGCGGAGGGTGGGGTGAGCGGGAAGGGCAAGGGAAGTGGGTGCACCCACCACCTAAGCCCGTGCTCCAAGACCAGACACCCATCCCCCTGGGTCCTGGCTGACCCTCCCAGCAATAGGCTGAAGCAGCAGTGAAATAAGTACGATTTGTGTTAGTTCACTGTCTTCTCCAGCCACCCTCTCCTATGTGTGAAAATGAAGGAGGTGGAGCTCTAGGTGCTCTAGGGTCTGTAGGCATACCAGGGCCATGCCCCCAGCCCTCCAGGCTCAGCCTTTTAACCAGAGACCCCAGACTCGGCTCTAGGACTCCTGCCCAGCCTCAAGGCATGAGGTGACAGGAAGATCCCTCAGCCAGAGACAGATACCAGCCAGAGTTCCCAGTCCTCTCTGACCACCTGGAACTTGTCAGGGCCTTGCAAGCCACAGTCCAAGGACCACAGGACACCCAGGGACAGAACACATGGGGCAGCTGGGGTCTAACCTGGAGAGGAACTACAGCAGGCTCTTGAGACAAACGGTCAAGAAAAAAGGTTGATATAGTGGGATGGGACGTTGGCACAGCTGGGGACAAAATCTTGACCAGCTGAAAAGAGAACGTTGAGGCAGCTGGGAAGAGAATCCTGGGAAAGCTGAGGACAGAATCATTGGCTGTATGGTTGAGGACAGGATCTTCGGGCAGCAGGGACAGAATCTGGGGACAGCTGGGAACAGAGTTTTGAGAGACCAGGGAAGAGACCTATGGGTCAGCTGGAAGGCAGTAGCTTAGAGAAGAGGGACGCAGATCTGGAGGCGGCGTCAGGAGGCGGCTGGGACGGGGGAGGCTGACCTTGGCCCCAAGTCACAGCCAGCCCTTCTTCTGGAGCAGACAACACGGCCGCAGTGCACACCCAACACGTGGGCTTCAACCGGCAGGAGCAGGACGTGTTCTTCCTGCCTATCCTGGTGGTGGACAGCGGGCCACCCACACTGAGCAGCACGGGCACGCTTACCATCCGCATCTGTGGCTGCGACAGCTCCGGCACCATCCAGTCCTGCAACACCACGGCCTTTGTCATGGCCACCTCCCTCAGCCCTGGCGCCCTCATCGCCCTGCTGGTCTGCGTCCTCATCCTGGTCGGTGAGTCCCCCGAGAGCCACCCACCCCTGCCTGATCAGCCCTCATCCGGGCCCTGGGTTTCCTCCCCACCTGGCCCCCGAGGAGCCTCAGTTTCCCTCCCTGTACAACAAGGGGCTGGTATGAGTGGTCTCCAAGCTGCAACACGTAGTGCCAATGAGAAGTCTTCTAACTACTTGAGAGGGTGTCAACCCCCACCTGGGACTAAGTTCATGCTGGCTCACCCTCCACGCAGCCCAAACCCTCCCTGAAATTCAACGTCTAATTCTGTAAAACCAAACGTTTTTTAAAATTCCCTTATGTCTATACCCGTTGCCACTGAGTAGATTCCAACTCGTAGTGACCCTGTAGGACAGAGTAGGACTGCCCATAGGGTTTCCAAGGCTATAACCTTTACAGAAGCAGACTGCCACATCTTCCTCAGAAGGTGCAGCCGGTGGGTTTGAACTGCCGACCCTTCAGTTAGCAGCTAAGGGCTTAACCACTGTGCCACCAGGGTTCTTTCCTTATGTCTATAGTCTGTTTTATTCTCTATGTACGACTCTCAGTAAAAAGGGTTCTTGTGAGCCTCAGAACTACCCGGTCAGGTATATCATCCTCATTTTTCAGATGAGGAAACTGAGGCTCGGAGAGGCTAAGTGGCTTGCCTGATGGTACACAGTCTTCTGACTTGAAATCAGGTCTTCTCACCTTGGGTCCCCTGCTCCTTTAACTCCACCGTCTGCTATGTATCTTAACTGAGGGTATGACCTTGGGACGGCTGGGGGAAAATCCTAAGACATTTGGGGGCAAAATCTCTGGTATCAGTCACACCAGCAGCTAACTGAACCCCTAAATGTCCCCAGGGAAGAGGTCAAGTTATCTGGGAGCTGAACTGGCCAAAGCTGAACTAGCTCAAGTGGCCAAAATGCCACCTATCACCAATACAGCCACAAAGTGCAGAAAGACACCTACACCTCAGCTCTGACCACTGGGCTTCACGGGGCAGCCAGAGCTGGAGAGACTCAAGGGAGGTCCAGGTTGCAGACAGCAGCTTTGCTCAGTTTCCTGGGACATGTCAACTGTGCCCCCTCACCCCACCCCACCTCACTGCCTACCACTAGTGTGGCTTCCGCCAACCCTCCGACAGCCTGCCTGTGACCAAGCTCTTAAATTCGGCACCTCCTCAGGTTCCTGCGGAGGCCCCGGCAGGCTCCTCCTAGCTGGAGGCCCAGGCTCCCCTTCCCTCCCCGCCCCAGCCCATGGCTCAGAAACCCTTTTTCCAGAGGGTGCACTTTACAGCAGTTTCATTTTCTGAGGCAGTGCAAACAAATTTCTGCCTAATTGCCCACAAACGAAGAAAGTGCACAGCAGTGCTCTAAAGGTGACGGGCGGAATCGCTGATCAGGCCTGGCACATCTGTTGCCCGCCGCCCGCACTCCCCACCATCTGCTCTCACGGGCATCCCCCTCCACAGCTCCAAAAGCCATCCATCCATCTTTCCCACTTCTCTCCTGACACCTTCCCTCCCTCCTGCCCTCCTTCCAGACCTGCTCCCTGGCCCCCACCCCTTCCCTGTCATGAGCCACCTTGTTAGGTGGTGAGCCAGCCCCCTGCCCCATGGCCCTAGCAGCTGGCTCTGTCTACAGGCCCTGCTGGAGCTGTTTGGAGCGCCAAGAAGTGTCCAGTGCCTTCCAGCCCTCTCTGTCCATCCATCTATCATCCACCTATCCATTTAATCCTCTCATTTGTTCATCCATTTATTTATTCATCCTGTGAGCTCCTTCTCTGTGCTATAAGGTTCTAGGCGCTGGGTATTCATCAGTGAAAAAAAACAGATGAAAAGCCCTGGGTAATTGGAAAGTTGGAGTTGCCACCACTGAGATGAGGAGGGCTAAGGGTGGGGAAGGGAGAAAGATCATTCTGTCAGCTTTGGGCAGGTTAATTTTGAGAGTCTTCCGGTCAACCAAGAGGACATGTTGAGTAGGAAACTGGATATACAGTGTGGAATTCAGGGGAGACGACCTGGCTGGAGGCTGAGATATGAGAGCTGTCACCTTCTAAATGGAACTTAAAGCCACAAGACTGGAGGGGAGCACCAAGGGCATGAGCGTGGATAACAATGTTAAGAAGTCAGAGAGATGAGCAGAAGCCTGCTTAGAAGATGGTGAGCAAGTGATCAGGGAGGTGGGAGGAGGATGAGAACTATGTGGAGTCCCGGAAGTCAAGTGAAGAAAGCCAAAAGGGGACCATTCATTCATTCACTCACCCAGACTCCCTCCACCTCCTCATCTGGTCATTCATTCATTCATTCAGCAAGCTCAAGTGCTGACTGTATGCCAGGCACCAAGCTAGGGGAGCATTTCCCTGGTCCTTGAGGGTAGTTCCCCCACACCCCTGGGGAGACAGACACATAGTCACGGCAGGGTCTGTGCTAACACAGAGGAAAAAAAAAAAAACAAACCCATTGCCGTCAATTCGAACTCCTGGCGACCCCGTGTGTTACAGAGTAGAACTGGTCCATAGGGTTTTCTTGGCTGTAATCTTCGCAGAAGCAGATCACCAGGGCTTTCTCCTACAGAACCACTGAGTGACATGTCCCAGGAAACTGAGCAAAGCTGCTGTCTGCAACCTGGACCTCCCTTGAGTCTCTCCAGCTCTGGCTGCCCCGTGAAGCCCAGTGGTCAGAGCTGAGGTGTAGGTGTTTTTCTGCACTTTGTGGCTGTGATGGTGATAGGTGGCATTTGGCCACTTGAGCTAGTTCCTCTTGGCCAGTTTAGCACCCAGATAACTTGACCTCTTCCCTGGGGACATTTAGGGGTTCAGTTGGTTGCTGGCGGGACTAATACCAGAGTAGATTTTGCCCCCAAATGGCTTAGGATTTTGCCCCAGCTCTCCCAAGATTTTGCCCCCAGTTTAGATAATAGCAGGTGGTGGAGTTAAAGGAGCAGGGGACCCAGGTTAGTAGCTGATAGCAAGCCGCTTGTGCCACCCAGGGACCTTGAGCTGCCTCAGCATCACCTGGAGGCCTTATTAAAACACAGACTGCTAGGCCCCACCCGAGAGATCTAGGCTAGGACCCGAGAATTTGCATTTCTAACAAGCTCCCAGGTGATGCTGATGCTGCTGGTTCAGGGACCACACTTGGAGAACCACTGAGCTAGAGGGAGGAACCCATCACCAGGGGAACTCAAAGGCAAAGGCGCTGAACCTCACCTGATGCTCTCCGGGAAGGGTTCCTGCAGGAGACATCTTGACCTGAGACCCAAAGGACTGAGCAGGAGTGAGAGTGGAAGAGAGGTCAGAGTCAAGGACATCTTTCACCTCCCACCCGCCCCCCCCCACAGCCCCATCATCCCTCACTGCCTCCTTCACACCCCCAGCACCTGGAGTTCTCATAGGATGTCTCTTTGTAGAATTGAGGATGGAGACCTCAGAGGTTGAATCCGGCCCTCTGCTCAACACCCAAGGTGCCCTGGTGGTGAAATGGTTGAGCCCTGGGCTGCTAACCTAAAGGTTTCGGTTCGAACCCACCGACCAGTCTGCAGTAGAAAAGATCTGGCGATGTGCTCCCATAAAGATTTACAGCTTAGGAAACCCTATGGGGCAGTTCTACTCTGTCATATAGGGTTGCTATGAGTTGGAATCGCTGTGAAGACATACAACAACTCAACACCCATGAAAACTCTTAGCACTGCTCTCTGCTCGACCCAGTGTGGTCTTGCCTAGATTTGCACACCTTCTGAGATGGGTAGCTCCCTGCCTTTCCAGAAAGCCAGCTCGGTTCAACTGTGACTGTACGAAAAGTCTCTTGAAGAGAGATCTAGAAAATTTACATCAGTGCTGAGGTTGGGCCTTCTCCGTGGTGGCGGATTGGGCTGGGGGGGGGTAGGGGGTGAGGAACACCCCCCCCGCCCCCGCAATGCCCTGGGCCTGGCTCGCCCACACTGGCCCTCTTCTCTCTCCCACGCAGTGTTAGTGCTGCTGATCCTCACCCTCCGGCGCCACCACAAGAGCCACCTGAGCTCGGACGAGGACGAGGACATGCGGGACAACGTTATCAAATACAACGATGAGGGCGGCGGCGAGCAGGACACGGAAGCCTACGACATGTCGGCGCTGCGGAGCCTCTACGACTTCGGGGAGCTCAAAGGCGGAGACAGCGGGGGCGGCGGGGGCACGGGCGGGAGCGCGGGCAGCCCCCCGCAGGCCAGCTTGCCTTCCGAGCGCCACTCGCTGCCGCAGGGGCCGCCGAGCCCCGAGCCGGACTTCTCGGTGTTCAGGGACTTCATCGGCCGCAAGGTGGCGCTGGCGGACGGGGACCTGTCGGTGCCGCCCTACGACGCCTTCCAGACCTACGCCTTCGAGGGCGCGGACTCGCCCGCAGCCTCGCTCAGCTCGCTGCACAGCGGCTCGTCGGGCTCCGAGCAAGACTTCGCCTATCTCAGCAGCTGGGGCCCGCGCTTCCGGCCGCTGGCCGCGCTCTACGCCGGTCACCGCGCGGACGACGAGGCCCCGGCCTCCTAGCGCCCCGCCCAGCCGTCGGGGGCGTCCCCACAGGCTGAGGACCGAAGCATTGTCGCTGCTCACCTCCCCAACCCTCCCACTTCCAGGGCGGCTGGACGGCAGGGGCCTGTTAGGGGCTGATCCCCGACGTCCCTCCCCACGGGGGACAGGTTTTGGACCCAGGGGTGCGGGAATTACCGCCAATGTCATTAAAACTGCAGCAACACTGGGCACTGCGTGGCTCTGGGGTGCAAAGGGAGATGGGGTGGCAGTGCTGCGACAGGAGGGGCGGGTTACCCAATGCTGGCCTGGGGGACGCTGGAGGGAGGACGCTGCTGAGACCCCCCTCCCAAGTTTCCCCCATCCCGAACAGAATTAAGAGGAAAGAAGGGCTGTTCATTTACTAAGCGCCTACTGTGTGCTGGGCCGCTATACAGAGAACATCTTGGTTGTCATAGAAACCATGAGGTGGGGTCCTCCAAGTAACAGATGGGAAAAGCTGCCCAAAGATGTGGCTGTGACCTGTCCAAGGACACCCAGCCAGTGAGTGGGCGAGCCTCTGGCACTTACCAGCTGCCTAGCCTTGGGCAAGTTACCTCACTTCTTGGGGCCTCAGTTTCCTCATCTGTCAAACGGGGTTAATAACAGACCCTACCCGAAGAGCTGTGAGGATAAAAAGGGACTATACATGTAAAGTGGTTAGAACAGTGCCTGGCACATAGTAGGTGTTCAATAAATGTTAGCCGATGTTACTATCCTATCATTGTGTTACTATTATTATCATTGTCATTATTAGAAGCCCAGTATGTCTGCTTCCAGACCTGAGCTCTCTCTGTTGCCCCAGCTGCCCTTTTCCCAACATCTGGAAAAGAGGAAGAAATGGTTCCCAACTGTCAGCTCTTGCTCCCGCCCTGAGTGGGGAGTGGGGATGCCCCCAAAGGCTTCAGAGTAAGATGGTGGCAGAGTACCAGGAAAGAATGCACTGGGTGGCTCCAGGGATTTGGGTAGTGGTGGTGGGATTGGCAGGAGATGGAGGGGTCAGAAGCCACCAGGCTTGGTGGGGACTGTGTCTTTCTAATCCAGGCACCCATCACTCTCCCCATCCATGGACCCCAAGCTAAGAACCCCCGGGCTAAATTGTCTCTAAGAGCTTCCAGCTCTAAATTATATTTCGTATATAATTTAGATGATTAATCATATGATTAATAATTACAATGATTATAAGATATAGGTTGGTCATTCCCCCTGCCCCGCCCGCCAGTGGTTCGTTCATTCCACATTAATCAGATGTGAATCCCAGCCCCTACCAGCTGGGTATCCTTCATCAAAGTCCTGCAACCCTGAAGCCTCCATTTCCTCATCTGTAAAATGGGGATAATGGCAGTCTCTCCCTAAAAGGATTGTTTAGAGGCACAAAGGAGATAATGAATGTTAAGTTCTGATCTGAGTGCCTTCCTAACACGTTGGAAGTGCTCAATAAATGCTCCTTAGCTTTAGTTTTTTTTCCCTCCTAGCAAGCACTCATTCCTGACCTCCACAGTTGCCAAAGTCCACTGGAAGGGATCCGGAGAGGTTCATTATGTCCTGAGTGCCTTACCTGTATTATTTTCATCTTTACAACCCTCTAAGTTAGGTACTGTCAGTCCCAGTTCACAGGTGAGGAAACTGAGGCTCAGAGAGTAGTAACCTGCCAAAGGTTACACATGATATAGTAGTTCCTGCCTTCCAGGAGCTCAAGGCCTAACTAGAAGAAGGGGCAAGGGGGAAGGGGGAAGGTGTAATAGACATGGAAACAGCTGATAATAATGTGGTTGGTAAGAACTGTAGCAGAATTAACAGAACAAGGTAATGGGAACACTGAGGAAAGACTGAGTAATTCCTGGAGGGCTTCCCAGAGGAGGTGACATCCAACTGGGTCTTGAAGAACCAATGAGTATGAGATGCCCAAGCAAATAAGAGCATTCCAAGCAGAGAGAAGAACATCAGTGCAAAGGCGGCAGGGGACAGGGCTAGGGGTGGAAGAAGCATGTGGCAGCTTCAGGAATTGTGTGTGGTCCCAGGGGTCAGATCCCAGGGTGGAGGAAGGGGGGATGTGAGGCAAGGAAGTGTGGTTGTAGACAGGTTGCTAAAAAAACCTGAAGGCCAAGCTAAGGAATTTGGTGCTTTGCTCAACTTGAACATGTCTCCTAAAGTCCTTCAAGGTTAGCTAGTGGTGGGGATGTGGGATTGGTATGGTAGGCCCGAATGGGGGGATATTTGGGACCCTTAGCTCATCCTATGTGGGACACTTAACCCAATGCTACCAATGGGTATGGTAACTTGGGGACCAGCGGGGAGACATGCGATCACCTCCCTCACCCACGTGTGCCCAATTCTCACAGAATCCCAGCATCGGTTCTGAGGTGAGTTATTGCATGCCCATTGTGCAGAGGAGGAAACTGAGACTCAGAGGAGTAAACTGACTGGCTCCAAGTCACCCAGCTGGTATGGGCAGAATGGGACAAAACCAGTCCCCTGACTCCAAGTCCTTGTTCCTTCCACACACACCACTTGCCTTCATAGATTCTGACTCTGCCAAGATTAGGCGCAAGTAACATGTCCAGAGAGACCACGGACATGGATTCACAAGGACCCTTGAACATGTTGTTCAGACCCCACACGTGGGAAATGACCTTTCCAAGGTCATGCAGAGTTAAAGGCCTGGCCAGAAATCAAGACCCTTCTTCATCCAGATTCACCTCCTGAGCCTCTGGCTCGGCCGTTTCGTACAAGTCATTTACCCTCTTTGTGCCTCCCTTCTCTTAGCCATAAAGTGGACGCACTCAGAGCACCTACTTCATAGGGTCGTCATGAGGATCAAATGCAATAACAGCTGGTGCTTCCTGAGTCTCCCATCCACCGGGCACTGCTCTGAACCCTTTACCTGGATTAACTCATTTGATCTCACAACAACCCAATGAGGTATCTCCATTTATAGGTGAGGAAACTCGGGCACAGAGAAGTTAAGTAACTTATCCAACATCAAACTACTAAAAAGTGGAGTTGCCAAGATTTAAACCTGGGCACTCGGGCCCGAGTACCTACACCACTAGCAGCAGGCACAGTGCCCAGCACACAGTAAGCATGTAACATATGTCCCGGATATATCCAGATGTCAGCTGTCTGTGCTCTAGAAGAACTTGTTCTTCCCCTCGCCACATTCCACAGCCTGTGGGAGTCCTCTATGATTTCTGCTCTTTCCAGGGTTTGTTGGGGGTGGGGGATAATGCTCCCAGAGACCTCTCTGCTTCCGGCCTCTGCATCCACATTTGCTGTCTCCACTGGGTCCTGAGCCAACTCGGGAGTGAAATCCAGTGAATCCAGCCCCTTCTCTGGGTTCCGCAAGACGTCCACTCACACCAAGCATTCTGTGAGCTTGGTACACTTCTCTGATGATTTAGGGTCCTAGAGAAGGGTTATGCTGTGGGGGACACAGCCTTTGGCCATCTCATTGTTGCCTCACATTCCCCAATAGCCTCAGATCCTTCTCCCTGTGTTATGCAGAGAGTATGACCACCCCCGATGCCTGGCCCCAGTGGGTACATCCAACTCCATCAGGGAGCTCAGAGAACCAAGAGCCTTCCGTTTGCCACATCTGCTCTCCTTACAAGGCATCTGGGGAAATGAAAAGAAAAAAAATCCACCTTTTCTTGTCATACCACCGTCACCATCATTATCATGGGATAAAAGCATATTCAGGGTCATGAGCGAGAATTGATGCATAACTGGCCAAGAATTTCAGGACCTTGGCTACCAATGGCTATAATAATGATAATAATGATGACAGTAGTGCACTTATATAGCGCTTGCTGCATGCCAGCACTGTTCTAACCACCGCACAGTATTAATGTAGGTAAAACTCGTGAACTCTGTGTTTGCTGTGCTTAGCACTTTGCATACCTTGCCTTGTTTAATTGTAAGCAAGTACTCTCATTAGCCCCATTTTACAGATAAGGAACCCAGTGCTCACACAGATGGGAGAGACTTGCCCAAGGGCACCAAGCTAGTAAGGACTTGGGACCCTTTTCCACACACGCCACCATGGCTCTACACAGGGCCGGGACATCTCAGACCCTGAGGGCTCCGTTTGGGAGATAGTGGAGATCTAGCGGGTGTGGGGAGGAGAGAGAAGCAGGTTGGTAAGAAGTGGGGCGGGCATTCAAGACAGACGGCAGAGCTGGGAAGCAACGTGGCGGTGGGGCCAAGGTGACTGACCCCAGTCTAAGCCCAGTCTGTGTCTCTGGTGTGTACCAGTGTGCATGTGCCCCCCCATGGCTGTGGACACGCACCAGGAAAGTGGGAAGACAGCACCGAGCCCTACAGGTCAAAAACTAACCTCCCCACCTCCTGAATCAGGCAACTCAGAGAGCTGGCTGCTGTCACAGAGGGCAGCTAAGGGCCTGGATCCATCAGCCAGCTGTCATCGCCGCCCACCCCGGGTCACGAATCAGTAGCTCCACTTACCTCCTGCCAGCAAGCGCTCTCAGGCCAGCTCTGTCACTGGCCGCTGAGCCTTTGGAAAATGTAACGCTGTCAGCCTCACTCAAAGGACTCTTTCAGGGCCAGAGGGCCCACGCTTCAGTACGTACACATGGGTGCACAAGCACACCCATACACTCATGCCAGCAATAATACATGCACCTGTTCCCATGTGTGTGCGCAGTGCAGACACACACGTTCACAGCCGTGTACCCAGTGAATATCCCTGCAGGTTCTGGGAATGTATCCATGCAAGCTCACAGACTGCCCTCATGTTTGCACATGAAGCATATACGTGTGTGTCCATAGATGTGTTCTCCTGCATACATGTACGTGTGTGTCCAATGATACTCTTCAATGAGTGAACCTATCTTCCCATTCAGGAATGCGCTCATGCACGTTCATGAACATATGTGTCTCCAGATACTCCCACTCCAGTACACAGCATATATATCTGTATATGCTCATGTGTGCTGGTGCACATGAGCATACAGCTCCCTGGA